CCGCCGCGGCCGCGGGGCGGCGGCGGCGGCGCCGTCCTCCTGTCCCTCGTCGCCGCTGCTGCCCCTGCCCTCCCCGTTGCTGTCCTCCCCGCTGCTGCTGCTGCCGCTGCTCTCCCACTCGTCCTCGTCTGATCCCTCCAGCACCGCCGCGCGCCGCCGCTTCCCGCGCTTCCCAACCGCGCCCGCCGCGACGGACCGCGCCAGCCCGCGCGCCGTCGCCGCCGCCGCGCCGCCGCGCCGCTGGCGTGGCAGCGTGCTGCGGCGCTTGGGGCGGCGGCTGGCCGCGCCGCCGGCGGCTGCCATCGACTGGGCGAGGCGTGAGGAGCCTGACGCCTGCTGCCAAAAAAGCGGGGACACGCGCCGCACCGCGCTCTCCTGCGGAAACACGCGGCACAGTGCAGCAAAGAGGGTTGGCAAGAATGGCATCTCATTTGGGGGTTATGAGATCTGGGAGGTGGTTGTTATTGAAGTGTGAGACGGTGAGCTCAGCTGACACAGCAGCCCTTGCATGGCCCCACACGACTCTGCCTGTTGTTGCATTCGCGCTTCCAACCGTGCGGCACTGCTTTGCTGCCCCCGCCCTCCCTCTGCAGTTGCCCCTCCTCCTGTGCGCCCGCATGCTAGCAGTAGCAGCCAGCGCGTCCCATGGCAACCCCCTCCCCAAACGAGCCACACCCAACCGACACCAGCCCGCCCACCTGCCGCGGCACATCTTCCGGCGCCATCAGCACGGTCCTCGCCCGCCCCGACCTCAGCGCCGCCGACTCGCTCGCCGCCTTGGCCATGAGCCGCGCCACGTTGCCGCCTGCGGCCCCCTCGCCCGCTGCCTCGTTGCCGCCGCCATCCTCCAGCCCTGCGTCGCCGCCACCGTCGCCGTGGCCCTGCAGGAGTGCTGCAAATTCCCGGTCCACCTCCGCTGGCCCTCGCTGTTGCCCCGCCGCCGCTGGCGTCCCCGGCGCCCGCGGCGGCCGCCCGATGGCAACAGCCTCTGCCCGCCGCTGTGCGACCGCCGCCGTCGTCGCTGCTGCATGTGGCGGCGGCGCGGGCGCCCCCGCTGCCGCTGCCGCCGGCGGCGGCGCGGGCGCCGACCGGACGCGGCGCTCGAAGCCGTCAAGGCGATCAAACGGTGTGAGCACCCCCAGGCGGATGAGCCGGTCCCTCTCCGTCTCCACCAAGCCGCCGCCAGCCATCGGGGCATCCCCGCCCCCGCCACCGCCGCCAGCGTCGCTTGCGGCGCCGGCGCCCCGTTGCCGCTTCCTGCCGCCGCCTTTTGCGCCCTGCGCCCGCTGCAGCTGGAGCTCCCGCTCTTCCTCAAACCGCCGCTGCTGCTCCTCCAAGCCGGGCGCCTCAAGCCCAGCCGTGGCGGCCTGCTGTGCCAGCGCGGAGCGCTGCTGCTGCAGCTGCGAGACTCGCGCGGACATCACGGCCAGCTCGAGGGGCCGGAGGGCGCCGTCTGACGGGTGCTGCTGCTGCGGGCGCTCCTCCTGCAGTGAAGCCAGGAGGATCGCGCAACCGTGTTGCAAAAACAACTCGTGTTCTCGCGTCGAACCTTCCGCACCCGAACGCTAGAGGCGTGCAAAGCTTAAGCGTCAAGCACAGGTGTACACGCGCCAGATAGCACCACGACTCTTCGTGTGCAAGAGCGCCGTCGCGGAGCCATGCCCACCTCCGTGGGTGCAACCGCTTCGCCGCTCCCGCCATCATCCGCCACGGCCTCGCGGGCCGCTGCCACGCGCTGCAGCTCCCACAGCTCCCGGTCAATGGCGCGCAGCTGCGCTAGCAGCGGCGCCGTCCCAGCATCCGCAGCATTGCCTCCCGCAGCAGAGTTCACGCCAGTGGACGCTGCGGCGCCCTGTTCGCTTTCGTCGGCGACGTTGCCTGCATCACGCGCAATCACAACATGCATGGCAGTTCTTGTATGGATTGAAAACGCCGAAAACACTTCCTTCTGTGGGTGTTGTCTGCACACGAAGGCAGTGTGGACAAGGCAGCAGCAGTGGCAGCAGCAGCAGCGCGCATGCTCTTGCTGCAACACACCTTGAGATGCTCCGTCACCGCGTTGCCGGCCCTCCGCCAGCACCTGTGAGTATCAAAGTTGTATTATAATGTACTGCGCTGGTTACCCAGGCACGGTATGGTCGAGGGAGCATGCACGCACCTGATTCAACACCTCGCGCTCCAGGTGCTCTGCAGACACCTGGGCGACACCCAATTGAGCCAGAAAATCATCCGGCTCAACCCCGTCCTCCATGGCTGCGCTCGGGCCCGCGCGTTCAGCTTGCTGCTAGCCCTGGATGAACATGATAGCGTTGCTGAGCGCGGTTTTACGCAAATATGGTTGCTTATAACGGGTTTAAGTGCGTGGGGCTACGGCGGGTCTTCGTAAGAACCGCGTCGTGCGTGCTGCGCATGGGGCGGGAAGCCGCCAGTCACTCATCATCATTGTCAGCACAAATCCTGAGGGCACCATGTCACCGTCGTGAACCAGTGCAGTCGCAATGTCCCAAAAGTTGGCATTTATGATTCCCAGGTTGCAGCGGCTTCAGTCCTCCAGCGGATAACACAGCATGTTTCAAAATTCCCAGGTCAAATGAACTGCCTTGACCTGGGCCTGGGAAAGGACACTGGAGTACCTGGTACCTTGATGCCTGCGCTTACCACAGGCAGGCGGCTGAGAAATATCATGCATGCTTCTTAGGGTAGGCTTTACATAGCATCCATGCAGCCACGCATGTGCACTCGTCATGCACGTATTCATAAAACAGCAGCCGCGTGGAGGTTGCAGCGCGCGCCAGCCCTGGAAGACTGGCGACGACGCCATCAGCCACTGGCGTTGAACAGTGCGCCTGACACGGGAAGGTGCCACTGGTCGCTTCTGGCCAAGCCCCTGCGGCTACCACACAACCCTCATCTGTATGTGATCAACCCTCCTCCAACGCGGGTGCCTCTGGCCAGGTCTGTTCGCCATCTTCCAGCTGATAGAGGACCTGGGCAGGGAGATCCAGGGCAGGGAAGATCGGGTAAGCAGGTTGCAACAGCGAGATCTTAACAGCGGACCAAGTCTCAGGCTTGAGACGGCAAGGCAGGTGTTCCCCTTAAGGGCAGGCGCACGGCATAAATTGCACATGCTTGGGGGGTCAATTCGTGGTTGGCCACAGGACACGGTGCGCCTGTTGCCCTGTCAACCACTGGCCTCCTCTGCCTATCGTCATCCGCTACCCCACCAGAGCCCCCCCCCCCTCACCTGGCGTGTCAGGTCGACTTTGTTGACAAAAGCCATCCCCATCAGCAGCGGCCCGCACCCACCCCGCGCCGTCGCCAACCCCGCTGTGCCTGGAGAGCCGAGCGCCGCCGCCGCCGCCGCCGCTGCCGAGCCCGCCCGCTCC